GAATGACATTTACTTCATCTAAGATGAGTGTTGTGTTGTATATACAGAACAACTCGTATGGATAGCAGGAAAGCGATGGCTTTTCAACATTATTCACGTGACATTTGTTCTCACTTTTGGGGTCTTTGCAAAAGATTGCGGTAATTATATCCTGAATAAAATTGCCGGATATTATGCTCGGGTATGTATCCAATTGTAAACGCTTCGATCGTGGTTCCAATGTTGTGCCCTATTGTTACATACATTGTATATTATGGTTACGATCCGTATATTCTATATACAATAATTCAATACAACATATCAGGGCTTTCAAAATTAAATGACAAAAGTTCTTTGGCCATTACTCTGGATCAGTTACAGTTGCATGCATATATATATCCATATGGGACATTTTTAACCATAGTTCAGCTATGAATAATGTGGTTTATAGGATCGTTCGTCTACCCCCATCCCCGGCTCTCACCCTATGGGATTTAAAATGGGACCCCAGTTTAAGTCTATGGCTATATTTTAACATAGGGCTAATGTTATCTTATGAGTAATGTTAAGTCTACGGGGAAAATTTTCAATGGGTTTCTATGGGATTACAGCGTAAGTCTATGACGTAGGTTTAACATTGATAATGCTAATCCTATAGACAATGGTAACTCTATGGAACTAATGCTAATCCTGTGGACAGTGCTAAGGCTATAACATAGGGTTAACATGGGTAATGTTGAGTCTATGGATAATGATAAGTCTATGGAACTAAATCTAATCACATGGATACTGTTAAATCTATGGAACGAATATTAATCTTATGGACAATGTTGAGTCCATGGGACTAATGCTAATACTATGGATAATATTGATTGTATGGGACTAATGCATGCTAACTCTATGAAATTAGTGCTAAGTCTATGACAAGTCTAGTGTACAGTACTCATATTAAATCTATGGACAATGCTAATCTAGTCACGTGATCAAAAATATTTGAATGCTTAAAATAATTGCCAACATTTTATATATGCATGCAATTACAACATTGTCACTGTAATTGGTCCAAAGTAATGGCTAAAGAACTTTTGTCATTTAATTTTGAAACCTCTTATAAATAGTTTGTAATACATATTGAGTACTCAACTGAAGAATCTTCAAACCATAAAACATATGTGTATTGGAAGACTCCGTCGGCCCAAACACTAGTCATGTGGCCATTAATGAGGGACCGGTAGGCGTGGGATATCATATGGGAGGCGATTGTGTTAAATTCATTTGCGCTCATTTGTAACCCATTTTCCGGATTCATAGATTCAATGGGAGCTATAATTACTTCGTTGACAGTTCTGTCGATATATACGAAACCAATTAAGCCTTTGATGTGAGCGTCGATTCCCAATAAAGTCATATTGCGTTGACTTTTGACTTTACAATAATCCAAATAATCATTGAAAGTATTTTTGCAAAAGAAGACAATTTCGTTGAATAAATTCCTGTGCAAAGACTCGGATCTTGATATGAGATGATTGTAATAATCAAATATCAATGCTTTGTAATTATCACGCAATGAGTTGTTTATGAGCTGAAGTTGTGCTTCAGTTTGAAAATTAAGTAAATTTTGGTCTAAATCTGTTAAATATTCAAATATTTTGCATTTGTTTAGTCGCGTCAATGTGTTTAGCGTCGATGCATAGGATTTCTCTTTAGTTAAATTGTTTTTAAATATGAAATCTTTAATACTTTTGATGGAATTTTGCAATTGAATGACTGTATGGCAACATTTCTTATCATTTGATTCATTCATCAAAATATTTATTATATTCATTAATACCATTAAATTTGATGCAATTTGTGTTGGAATCTGTGAAATAGAAACTAAATATTATTAAAATATAAAAAAGATGTAAATTATATTTACTTCGCTTAAGACTATAACAAACAATTTGTCATCAATTTTAAGTCTTCTATATATGTATGGAATTAATAGATTTGGATCTTTGTTTGACTCAAGAAATACTAAATAATGATTGCTTTTTGTTTGGTTATTATTCACTGATTTATTCATCAATTGATTGAAATACTTTTCAAGACTTGTTAGTAACTTATCATCAAATGACTGCATATTATCTTCTCTATTATCACCGCAAGTGTCTGAATGTATGTCCAGTGTATGCGATAGAAGAACCATCAAAAGCATATCTCCTCTCGAGATTTTGGCAATTTTACGGCTAAAGTTAGAAATTTAGTTATGAATTCATTGCAAAAACAGAGAGAGAGAGAGAGAGAGAGAGAGAGAGAGAGAGACCTGGAATATGAAGTAATATATTTATGTCCATAAAAGAGATACAAATGACTAATGGTTTCGTTTGAGAACTTAGAAATCAGTCGAATCCGACTTAATATGTGTTGTAAAGTATTTTCACAAATATTTGTTAAGTCAGAGCCAACCAACAGACGTTCAATTGACTAAAATTAAGAATATTTAATTAATAAGTATTTACTACAAAACAATTAATTAAAGGCATTAATTAATTGTATTAATTTTATAACCATTTGAAGACTTACTTCTAACATGAAAGTCATTGTAGAACTCAATCTCAACCACTCGTCAATCATATTGAATGTAATTTCCATTAAATGATAATTATTTGCTAAACAATGGATGAGTGGACCGAAAATAAATTTAATGATTTGCGTAAATATATCGACTCTTCTTTGCATTAAAACTTTATCTTCAGATTCTTTATAAATATAAAGTAAAAAGAATTCTTGACTCTAAATGTGTTATAAAGTGATCACAAATTATATCCAATGATACATAAAATGGTAAAATTGTTATTCTTTACCTTAGAATAGACGGCATTCATAGTTCCCAAACAGTCAAACTTCACACCCGAAGCGTCGCTCAAATATCTTTGAGAGACAACGAATGGAGTGACAAATACTGATAATAGGTTTC